AAGTCTTGAGGCGAGGCGCGACGGGTGAGGGTGCGCATCGGCGGACTGAGAAAGGCGCTCATGCTCAACGAGGCATTGTGAGAGTACAATTCTGAAAGTGATGAATAAAATAAATGCTATTTAGGCACCGAAAATGCAAGTCTTTAACGGTCCATTCTTGGATAAGCTGCCATCCTACTGTTGGACTGAATTCGTTGGCGATTTAAATATTTATTTTCTAGTATGGCTACTGGAATGAGAAGGATAAGTTGGTTGTGACAAAGGAGTTCTCCACTACGCAAGCTGAGATTTACAAGGAGCTCAAGGATCAAGTTCTTCGAGTTGCAACTATTGAGGTGAGTTGTCCCCCACTTTGACCCACTGTCGTTCAAGAGACGAAGCTCTCAACGCTTTTTCTGGCAAGGTTTGCACAGCTGTGACCAAAGTTTTGAGAAAAGCCGAGCCAAAACATTCAAAGGGCCACTGAGGACCAAAATTAAATGTGTCAGGGAAGATGTTAACGTAGAAACACTTTAATCAACTGTCCTAAATTTTGAGAAGATCTAATCCAACGTGCCGTACTAACTGTGCAACCTATAAACTTCTCATTCGCCTCCTACGAGTGCGTGAAAGAAAGCCACTTGCCTTCAGTTTTGGTAAATGTTTTCATCCTTCTTCCCTTTATGGTCAAACACTTGGCTAGAAGGAAAATGTGCGCGTAGTTACTACTGCTGCTCCTTGGGCATCTTTAGCCGGTCTTAGTGAAGGAGACGTTGACTAAATCCAAAGTTTGTTTTGCCTTTCGACTTCAAACCACTAACCTGTAAAGTGGCCCTACTTAAAGGGTTTTAACTCCCTCTCATCAATAGTCATGGGAATTGAAAAACTGAAAGTACTACAACCACAACGGTTCCACTTATAGCAAAATATTGGTCAACCAAGCATAATCTCATCTCCTTTCTTTTGCAATTTAAACAGGAAATTCCTTTTATGATGTACAAAGGTCCAGCAGGAGAGAAAAAGTCTAGCAACCCCAAAGACTGGCATGGATTTTGCATCGACCTCCTTGATGAATGTGCCACTGCATTGGAGTTCAACTACACCGTTCACCCAGTCACAGACGGTAACTATGGCACTGCACGAATCATCAACGGACAAGAGGTCTGGGACGGCATCATCGGGCAGCTGCAATTTCGCGTAAGATGACATACAAATGGTTGTCTTCATTCTGACTAGTCGGTCGATCGGAAGATCTCGTCGGTCATTTGAATAGTTTTCGTCCTCTTACAGAAGGCCGACCTAGCCGTAGCTATGCTGACGATTAGC